GATTGAGTAAAGGCAGTTAACTGGAAGATCTTGAAGCACCAAAAAGGAAAGACACTAAAATAAAAAACTATAGATATATATAGAAGACTGTAGGGCAGTGCAATATATAGGCGTTTATTAAGCTAAGAATAGTTTATCAGAATCGGTAATTGTTGATTGAAATCGTTTCAGTCGGAATGATCTAAGATGCCATTAGAAACATATACACATGTATATGTATGGGTATATAGACAGAACACATCAACTGAAAGCAAAAAAGAAGTCACAAAATGAAATCATAACTATGCAAAGTCAGAAAAAGGAAACATGTACCTAACTTTATCAAAAACGGAGTGTTCAATGCTTATAGTTTAAAGAAACCTGCAATTAGAAACTAAATACAGTCAGTGTGCTGTAACATCAAATATGTCCAGTGATACCGATTTGTAATCGCCAAAATTGTGACCGTCACAAATTTATGATCAAGGGGAAACCGTTTTAGGTACCTCCGCGAAATTGCAAAAAAATAGAGCATAGTCTGATGAAAAAGACGCCAAAATTTATGAAAACAAAATTTTATCGTCAAAATGCTTATGTTTTTATGAAGAGGATAGACCAAATTTGTTTTTAATTATTTTTCAGAATTTTTCCATCTTTTTAGAATATTCTAAATTTTGATTTAAAAAACCTTGTTTATCTTTTTTTGCAAAAAGGGATACAAAATAACATAGATAATTTTTAGCGCGTTTTTTTTTTTGGTATTTATACCTATTAATTTGGAAAATCTTGTAAAAAAAAAAAATAATTGTCAGATGTTAATGAAACTTTCAGAAAATATTCACAGATGATCGAAATTATTATGAATATGTTTTTTTTTGTTAAAGTCATGGCAGAAATATTTTTTTTTATTTTTATTAACACCCCATATCTAATTTTATGAAAAACTCAAAAATTCCATACCATCGGTTTTTAGTGATTACAATATTTAAAGCACAAGGCTTTGAAGAATGTAAATCATGTTTTTTTTTAATGAACCCATTACCTGAAAATCAGCTCTGAATTGTAACATACAAAACTCAATAAAAACTATTTAATCTCAAACGCTTTTATTTGTTTTTATTTGTTCGTATGAATATGGACAATAATTTCTGAAAGCAAAAAATTTTTTCAATGAAAATTGAATTTTTAATACAATTATTTCTCATTTCTTTAATTTTAAATCGAAATTTTAACACTTTTTCATTAAATTTTTAAAAAAATTATAAAAATAAATAACAGCACCATCGACCTTTGTACTTCTCTTTCTTAACTCGTCATTGTCTAGGGATTTGAAAATTGTATAATTTGGACCCATCCGATGATCCCCACTAATGAAGAAATGTAATTATGTTTTGATAAAAAGCGCTTAAATGGTTTGTCATTAAAAAGTACGGAAGGTCACGTGGCTTGAGTGTAAGCGTAGATTTCATTATTTATAGTATTTATTATCTCTATAGTGTTACGTGTTGATAATTGTAACAAAGGAAAAAAAATGATTTACCACAACACAGAGCTAAATCACAAACAAATATTTAATTTACTAAAACAGAACAAAACATATACAGGATAAACAATTGTAGCCTACAAAACAGAAAACAAAGAGTTACTGGCGGAGTGTTACGAGGAAGAAGGAAAGGGAATCATATATCTTTATCACTTTAGGGCTAGTGAAGTAATCTAAGTGCTATATTTGGAAATCCACAAAGGTGTGTAAATAAATATTAATTTTTAGTTTGGTCAATGAAAATTAGTCAAAATTCTATTTACCAACTTTGTTCCATGAAATTCTCTTTTGGGTTTTGGTTGGTCGGCAACTTTTTATAGAGATTCTTTCGGCTGGATATAATAGTCCTTGAATCAAAAGCCGGAGTTGATACTGACAGCACTGACAACCCTTTTCCAAAATCCCATTTTTATAGGGGCTAACACCTAATTTGCATATTTCTAGATTTTTCTCGAATATACTAGAATGATCTAGAATCTTCTAAACATTCTATTTCTAATTTCTCTATTTTACAACTACTTCATGAATGAAAACTTTTTTGTAATAACAAGTAGAACTCAAAGGAATCCCTTATTATAGAAATGCATCCTCGTAACAATAGATAGTATCAACAAAGTTATGTTTTAAGTTCCAGTAATAATAAAATAACAAAATAAAGGAAATTGGAATGCTAATTTTTTGTTTTTTATTATCTACTAATTACGGGGTAGTACATAAGCTGATTCACGTAAAAAAAACCAAAAAAAACGTTACGTCACATATGACCATCTGTATGATAAAGCGTATCTCACGTTAGCTGTCGATATGTGATGACAGGTATCAATCAGCGCTTGAAAAATGACAACACAGTTCAGATCGCCTACTTTTTATTTCGAACAACTTTTTTATTCGAAAAAAGTAAGTAAAAGCTTTTTTCAAAATATTTTAAATAATCTTTAAATTTGCTAATTTTAGTCAAATTAATTTTGAAAAACGTAGAAATGATTTTTGGAATAATTATAAACAAGGATTTTAACTTGTTTACAAAATTAGAAAAAAATGGCTGATAGCTACTTTTTTTAAGTAATTTTGATGACAGAAATAAACAACTTTTTTAAATAAAATTTCGGACCTGATAAGAATGAGTAAAAAAATTTTAAAAATAATCAAAAAATACTTTGGTGTTTCTTCTTAAGAATGATATATATATTTAAGCCGATAAAAATTTATTACATCGTTTTTTTTCATGCTATATTTTTTTTGTAGCAATTTTGTGGAGGTACCTAACATTGCTATCAGTTATTCACTAAAACACAATCAATTTTTATCTATACACATACACATACACGCACATCTCTCTCTCTCTCTATATATATATATATATATTAAACAGTTTCATTAAACTAATAGTTTCATGTAATGGTAAACATCAGGCGGAATAGATCAGTCTGATAATTGACATTGCATGAAACTCTGAGTAGCGGATTTCGTATTATTATTATATTCGATGTTAGCAGTTTATTTTATATTTTAAGCTTTTGGCTTATCTTAAGTTTTTGTTTTATTCTTACCATATATATATATATATATATATATATATATATATATATATATGATAACTAGAAATACATCCGGAGCTACCGAGTTTCACGCCCAAAACACGATCAAAAGACGGGGTTAAAAACCGTTACTCTATATAACTAAACTAGTGTTAGTAAAGATAGCTATAAAGAAAGATCGACTTCTTTTCTGACATCTTGGCATAAAGGGAGATAAGACGTAAAGGATTTCAGCTGTAAATAATTTTTATGTCGTGGAGATGCGTCCCTTTAAAATCTCAGTGTTGTTAAAGGTATGTCTGTGAGAGGTAGATGGAAATAGGATGGCGCGGTTTCGGAGGTGGGTGATGAGAAAACACGCTGGGATTCTTGAAGACAGTGAAAAAACAACTTTTTTTCGCCTTACTTCGGCGAAAGTTTTGCTATGATTGAATCCGACTATCGAAGCTGGTATCAAAATGAAAAGTTTGAGCTCTGATGGAAACGTGATTACTCTATCCGAGAAAGGGTGTGGCGGTGTGGCAACAGAAAATGTAGGCAAAATAAATATAATCGACGACAATAACAAGATAGGAAAAATATAGTGAAATTTGATGGTTGTCAATTCAGATCGAAAAATAATCGTCAAAATTATTGAAAAAAATAAAATGTTATATGTATTAGTCACTGATATATATATATATATATATATATATATATATATATATATATATATATATATATATATTTACTGAAGAAGAAAGAATTCATTTAAATAAGTTTTATGAAAATTAATGTATATCTTAGTAAAATTTTAATGACGTTTTTCTAGTTTGCATAAATGTTGTCGTATACCAAAATCAAATTCACAAAGAAACTGTCCAAACTGTCGAGTATGTTCACCCCTGCCCGTCATTATCAGGAACTTTAATGCTTCAATGGCATACAGAATATTGTAGCGGGCGGTCCAGTGGCCCCGTATCACGGAAAGGGGTGAACGAGGTCACAAGAGGCCCGCTAACATTTTTGAAGACGTTAAATCTGACCGTGAAACAATATGGACGACAGAACGAGGATATATATGATATATAGAGGTTTATTCTAAAAGGAAAAGGAAATGAAGATGGTCGGAAACGGTGGAGGTGCTGGAAGCTGCAGGAGTGCTGGATACTGCAGGAGTGAGCCGGATGCTGCAGGAGTGCTGGATACTGCAGAAGTTTTAGTGCAGGCATTGATGGTCGAGGTTGGCAGTTGCTAGGATCATCGTTGTTGGGGGGTTGACGCTGATGTGAGTTGTTGCCAGGATGATCGCTTGGTGGTTGTTGATGTTGAGTGATGCCAGGATGATCTTTGTTGGTTGTTGAAGCTGAGTCGTTGCTGGGGTGCCAACTTGTTGCTGTAGTTCGTGTTGCCAACTCGTTGTTTGTCATTGCCGGGATGCCAACTTGTTGCAGCAGTTCGTGTTGCCAACGTTGTTGTCATTGCCGGGATGCCAACTTGACGTGTTGGGAAGGAAGAGAGAGAGAGAAAGAAAGTTCCCAACTATCGTCAAGTTGGCAGACAAAAAGAAATGGGAGCGTATACACAGCCCGTAGATCGGCGCCCTTGGCCAATGAAGGCCAAGGGGCCTGTGTAGACGACCGTTGCGGCCGCCGACAGCCTCCTCAAAGCTTGGGAGAAATCACTGTCTTGTGTCGAGGGGGACCAGCAAGAGAAATTGGCTAAGCTAACCGAAAAGTCTCTATAAAAAAATACTACAAGGTTAGCCAAAGATAACTAATGTCTAAAAATGACTAGATGTATATTACAACTAGGTTTGTAATATAGCCTAACTAAAAAGGGGATTTGCTAGTCCCTCTGACGTGTTAAGAGTGTGTGAGGAGTATGAATGAGAGGTCAAGGTCGAAAAGACCCGTTCCTCTGCCAGTTCAAGGACAGAAGGAGGAGGTAACTCCGACAATATGTTTTATTACCTTCATCCTAGCCTTTTCTTCGTTTCTTCTTCTTCTTCTTCTTCTTCTTCTTCTTCTTCTTTGTGTCATGTCCCTTCAGGACGTGCGCCATTATGACTCGCCACAACTTCTTATCTTCTGACCTCTTAACAAAGTTTGTCTATACTTCTTCCGCCTTGTTCCTATATGCATTTACACAAACACGTTATGCTCTCCTGTTTTTTAATAATACTTTTTGGAACATATATTTTCCTATTGTAAAGGGCCTTCGGATTATGGTGTTACATTTTTCGTCATCTGTTAAAACATCTCCAGATATTTAATTTTCCGTACTTGTTTGATTTTGATGTCTCCAATTGGTAACTGGCATCTTGTTTATTTTTTGTCTTGCTGACAGCCATATTTCTCGTTTTCTTCCAATTGCTGAGTAGTCCTTTCTTCCCGCTGTCCTTTACTACCTTGTCTTGGAGGTCCTGTAGTTTTCTTTGTCTATCTGTTATCAGCACACTGTCATGAATATCTCATATGATTAATATTGTGTCCACCGATATTAAATCCTGGTAGGATCTCCATCTATCTTAGGAGATAGCCTCGTTGTAGAGGTTGAATGAACCCGGTGAGAAGAGATATCCTTGTCTTACACCCCTTTCTATCTGTGTGTACCAACTCAATTCATTTTCTAGTCATTTTCTATCCGTATACAATCTGTTTGTTCCCATTGTAAGTTTTGGGATATTCTAACATCCTTCCCAACTTCCTTGCAGTTCAAACAGATACTTGTGTCGTAACTTATGAACTATTTTTGCCTAATCTATAAAATAAAAGTATACACGCTTCTGTGTCATCATTGCTCTCTGTTGTCAGCCATGTTCATGTTAAATTATTATATTACGTAGAGAAAATAAAACGTTAGTGAAAATGAGGCCTTCTTTTACGATTGTCTATCTCTCATTAATCTGTGTAACTAACATGGCATTGAAACTTTCTGTGTAATGGACTGTCTACAATTTGATTTATTTATTTATTTGATTTTGACGGCTTATCAACTTTGTGAGTTATTCAAAACATTTGGTATTCGAAGAATAATTTTGAGTGGATATTGCATTAACAATTTATTGAAAATAACAAGGGTTTTTCATATACAAGTTTTACTATTTAACCCCTAAATGGGTATTTGTGCCTACTGGAAATCGAACTCGGCTCTCCGTTTTTCATTCCGAGTCGCTATTCTTCACATCAACCACACATCTGATTTTTTTACAAAGTATCTATATTTTTCTAAATGATAAATTGTGTCGCATTTGTTACTCAATACATTTGTTCAGTAGTTTGATGCCTTCTTTAAATATTCCCATTCCTGAATTTTAATAGCTAATACAATTTAATAGAGAGTTTTATCTCGTTCGAATGTTGCTAGCTATATTGCTTGAAAATTTCACAAGTGAATATCAGTTTTCTGTTTGTGAATTGGGTGTGAAATAATATTGTCGTTATTTCATTAATCAGGCCATATTATCATTTCGCTAATTACATTTCAGATTATGCATTCCCCGAATTTCATAGAATTACTGAAATAAAGTATTGTCAAATTATATGTTATTATTATTCTATATATTATATTCTAACGCGTATCTTCCTTTTCTGTTTCGGTCATTTCGTCCTCATTGTTCTGACATTTAGAGATGAATCAATGTTATTATCACATAAATTAATCGGACTCTAATGAACTGACTTTACTTACTGAAATAATTCAAAAAATTATAAGCCGAAGTTTTCAATAATTTAAAAATTAATCTTTTCATTTCACACCATATACTCTTTAAATGTGGACACATAGTCAATTATCTTGACGACCATATGCAACGCTAAAATAATGTTTATATTTGAGAAATAGAACATTTAAACTTCTCTCAATGCGTGGAAAAAAAATCTCACTCTGTAAATTCTCCATGAAAAAACAGAAAGAAATAATGCAAGTTTTTTTTCTGGTTAAAAATGGCGCGATTGTCGATTTTCCTGCATGTACTTTCCTGGATCTTTGTCTGAAGAAGAATAATGGTGGAAAGTACTTCCTGGTAAGGCCTTTTCTCTACTGTTGAAGCTAAAAATAATGAATCTCCTCAAGAAAATCACTTCGACAGTAATGCAAAACGTCTTACTTTTGATAAATAAAAGACTGTTTCAATGGGTTCTAGTAGTCACAATAACATTAGCAATGTTAGACATTGAGGTATCGCTTTGAATACATATTTCTAACGAAAAGATAATTCATTTCTACCAAAAAGAACACTTAACAAACAACTTCATCATTATAACTGATCAGAACACTGTATCAGCGTCTCAGAAAAGGTGTGCAGTAAGCCAGTTCAAGATCCAGGATCATTTTGTGAAGTGTTTAAAGAGATTCGGTCCAGTTTGAATTTACTTTATTCTAAGCCAAATGTTTTAATATTGATCATATCCTACAGGTCGAGGCAACAGTTTTTAAAGAAGAAACCGATTTATTACGTTAAGACAACTACTATTTTTTTTTATAAATCTTTTTCAACATTTAAGCAAAATGACAAGAATTAAATGATTTTAACATTTCTCACGGCACCACGCAACTCTTTTAGAATATATACTGCCTTTGATAAGAACAATTTGCCTTTTACTGGAATTTGGAACAGGTATTTACGTCTGAAATGGAAGTGACGTTGATAGGATTTAAATCAGGCGAATAAAACGGCTATATTTTATTAACCTAAAACAAAAAAAGATACGATTTAAACAAGATTGACCGTTTGAGTTTACTGAAAGGTGAAGCCTTTCTTAAGTATCTGAAATATGATTTCACACACACAGGATACATTGATGGCAAAAGAGCTTAAGAGAAAACAACGTAACAAATTTAAGGAGCTTGTGTAAATAAATGACTTAACAGGTAGTTTGAAGGATAGTAAAGGGACACATTAATTAGAGCTACTAAAGATAGGAAATTGTTTAAAGCCATGATCAATCAGGTCCTGAAGGTACCTTTCAAATAAAACAAATCCAAAATATCTGTATTTTATACATTTGGGTTTTGATTCTGGTTTATAATAATAAAATATTGGTTTTTATTGATAGAAATGACTTTATCTCTGAAATAGTTTTAGCGACTTTATCAAGACAACTATTTGGGCAGTTGTCTATGAGTTCAGCAGTAAAAACCTTTTGATCAAACCAAACACTTTCACTTGGTTTTATTTTACTGAAGGGAACATTCATCAGATCCTTATTTTTATTTTTGCTTTTAAACCATAAGAAATCGTTTTGTGCGTTTGAATTGTAAATGAGAGATCTTTAAATCCTTCTTGACGTCGTTTACAGTTTTCTTTATTGGCCATTTTGCATTTTATTTATTTGGATTTTGATTAGGTTTCAGTATTACGTGAGAGTGTTTAAAATCAAGTCAACGACTTTATCCAAATTTTACCTTTTTCAAAAAGCTTCACATCATTCTAAACAGTTCCAATCAATGTCAATCCATTTCGAGTGATTTATTGTCATATACAGATCTATCTATCTATCTATCTATCTATCTATCTATCTATCTATAAATTCGATTATGGATTTGAATAGGTACGCATCTTAAAAATATTACAAGAAAAGAATGGTAGCCATTTAAATATTATGAGACTAACATAGATATATTTTCAGTTGTTTTGAATCGATTTCCTCTGTGCCAGTAAGGCCCGGTAATTCGAAGTTTGATTTTTTTTTCTGAATTTTCTGTAATTTGATATTTTTATTATGTTATATATTGTGTTACATACATTTTTTTAAAAAAATTCCTACCTTTTCATCAATTTGAACACCACAACCCAACATAGTCACAGAACTACTAGACTGTGGTGTTCCATTTGAGTTGAAATCTTTACACACACAAACACACACACATACACACGCGTGCTCTCTTTCTCTCTCTCTCTCTCTCTCTCTCTCTCTCTCTAACAGACACACACATACGCACACACAAGACGAGCAAATACAAACCCAATTCTGTTCTTGTAAAAATGTTAGCTAACTAAATCTGTTTCTATCTGTCAGCTAATGGCTTGCTTTAGATATGATTAATGGCTGAGATAGTTGTCTCCACCCTCTCGGCATCAGTATTGAAATTACGCTCATACTAAAATTTCAAATGTTATTTTCTTCAACTCGAATAATTCTTCTTCATATTTGAAGTGCGAGATACAAAGTAAGTACTTAAGTATCACATATTTTTCATGTCTAAATTACTCCGTATATAGGATTTAGTTGATCCATTTAGGATTTATCGGGTGGCTGAAAAGGTTATATAACTTGAGTACCTGATATATTTTCTTGCCTAGAAACAATGTCAATCAGCATGTATCTATCTATCTATCTATCTATCTATCTATCTATCTATCTATCTATCTATCTATCTATCTATCTAATCTTACCCTGTTCATGTCTACTTATAGATTTTAATTCATTACTCCACAAAATCCTCTAACGACGCTGATAAATGAATATTTACCCATTCATATACAAAAATAGTAACATCCACACAAATGCATAACTTAGAAGAACGTTTCGTCGACTAAAAAGAATAATACACCTTGATTGGACACTGATTAATATAGATGATAACAGTGACAGTCGCGTTGGCCTTGGCAAAGTGCTTATGCTTTCACGCCAGCTGCCGACCATCATCTTATTTTTCTAAGTTTTTGTCCTATTCTCTTGATCATTGTTTTCATTCTTTCTCGTTCTTTTACTTCAACATTACAACATTATCCATTCCAACCGGCAGCAAAGGTTTACATTCTTCTAAGTGGATATTTATTCAGCGTTTGCTCGCGGGCAACTGGCATACGGCCGGTTATCCTCGATTCTTTTCAAAACCCTCGAACCACAGGATCCATTGCCAATGCTGTCACCGAAGAGAGTGACAACCCTGCCTACTTTATTGTTTACAGCCAACTCGTGTACATTATCAGCGCTATTACATCAATACAAACATCACCTTTATTCGTCATTAAAATTCTTCTTTACACATCGCTATTTTACGTCATTACTGTTTTTATTATGGAATTTTTGGTTCGATTCTAAACTTTCGTTTTTCAGACGTTTGTTCTTTTCAATTCTTCTTTTTTTTTTGCTTTTTCTTTCACGAGCATTTATGCCATTCAAATATTTTTACTTGTTACATTATTTTTTTCTTTCTTTCTTTCTTTCTTTCTTTCTTTCTTTCTTTCTTATGTCTTTCGATACCCTTTCCTCGTGTTTGCTCAATTTTCTTCAACCTTTTTTTATTCAGACTCTTTCTTCATTTTTCTACTTGGTATCCCTTTTCTCTTCTTCGCTTTTTCTTTCTAAAATGTGTTCTTTTTTTTAACTAATCGCTTTTTTTCTAATTTACATTTTCCGTCGCAGACTTAAAGCTTTCCAAATGAACTCCCATTTTGAATCGAGTACTATGCCAAAAAAAAAAAAAAAAAAATTTGCCTCCGATTACAAAGTCAGAAGATGTAAAAATAATAATACGATTGACACACTGTTGTATGTAAAATTTGACCAGTGGTTATAGGCAGTAAAAATGCATGAAAAAGACACGTTCATCAGAAAATTTTGAAATGAAAAGTTTCGAAAAACGCGTATGTTCAACATGTCGTGAAGGGAAAAATGGTTAATTATTTTGGTGATCTTTAAAATAAATTCACTTCTTCCAAGAAGTCACGAAAGAAATACAGTAAAAGCAAAACAAAGAAGGATGAAATTTTATTTTAAAGCTCTGAAAGGTTAAAGAAAGACTAAGAAAAGTCAGAAAAATGAGGATAATAAATTTGCAGGTGTCGAGTAGCGTTGTGAAAATGAAATCTGAAACAGAATGCAAATCGTTGGAAATTTCTTGAGCTCAGAGAGGAATAAACACTTTGAAATATGGAATAAATTTTGTTTGTTTTTATTGTAACTAAAACGGGGGTAAACGTAGGGACCGGCATATGGATATGACAAAATAAATAGATACAAATAAAAGTGTATATGTATATATATATATATATATATATATATACATATGAAACCAAAAATTGAACAGAATGAAATAAAGAATAGATAGTCATGAATTGAGTGATATAGATGCAACTGAGTCGGTCAGCTAGACAGATGTAAAAATACATAGATCAAAGTTGTACAGTAGTTTGATAGATATATTTGAACAGATCTTTAATCAAGACATAAACTACTTTAGGTAGGTATAAATATTGATCTATATAGAAACGAAAAATCCAAGGTAAAAAGATTGATAAATCTAGCTAAATGCTGGTTGTTCGATAGATAAAAAGAAGTGAGGAAGACATAAGAGGGTAACCGTGTGCCCATGAAAAATGCCAAAATACATAACAATTTATCTTTTATTTCATACTTTGTTTAATTTTGGAAAAGAAACAAAAATATATTCAGCGGAGCTAGAAGCCACGGAAAATTGAGAAATGAACCATTTGCATGGAAACGTCTTGCCGCTTGAAGTATGTTACTTTTCACCCAACAAATTTTATTTTTATTCCGTTCCTGACAGTCGAAATCTTAACAATTTTACTCAGAATTTCTCAGTAAAGAAATCCATACGTGGTGGAATGATGCTTTGTTTCGCAGAACTGGAAGTTGGAAGTCTTTCTTGGTGCGTAGTGAATTACAATTATCCATGTGTGAAGATGAGTTGAAGTAGAAGTACGAAGCACTTGAGTGTGCAAAGATAATTTGCTTAAGCCGATGATAGAGGAACGAAAAAACGACAAGGCTTAAGAAAAATGGAGGAAATTTATTCAAGGAAAAATTTATAGACGCTTGTTTCTTTGCGTTGTGAAAAAATAGAAGTTGCTATAATTTTTATTTTTGTTTTTTATTACAAGACTTTAAACTGTAAGAAGCAGAGAACGAAGAACTTAAGGTGCAAATGTTAGTTAAATGTCTGTTTTTTTTCTTTCAAATCGACATAAAGAGGGAGGGTTGGTAAATTCGACTCTTTGTCCCAGAAGAGTGGATGTACATTTGCTAAGTAGAGAACACAGAGCAGTATAAAAGGAAAACGTTGTCAATGCCGACATCCGGAATACCCAGGAAAAAAAAAATAATAATCGAAACAAAGGTTTAGTACAATATAACTAACTACCTCTGAGAATGGAGGTTTCTGTTCGACATCACCTGAACGTCAGCAGATACTAATAACATAAGAAAACTAAAGGTAGACTACTCGAAACTTTGCGATAAAAACTATAAAAATAAGGATGTTCGTTTGAAAGAATCAGTGAATATTAGTAACCCTTACTCTAGAAATCCAGAAAGAAAGTGCATTCAACTCTAGAGGATGCTTGTTCTAGCGTTATATTTATCCGGTCTCTCATCAAATTGCTAATTCAGGAAATTTTTTCTTGATGCCTCACCATTTTGACCTTATGTCAGAATTGAATGGCTGAGCAAATATTTAAATGAATTGCCGAGTATCGAATGATGGTGAGAAAGTTTGTGCCTCATACCATTGCTAGTGGGTTTTATTTTCGTTTGAGGATTATTTATTCTAATTTATTTCCAGACAAAATCAATCTGAGTAAAAATCTACAAACGAAGAATATTATACGCAAATGAATGCGCGCGCATACGCGAGAGAAAAAAAAGAGAGAGAGAGAGAGAGAGAGAGAGAGAGAGAGCAAGAGTGAGTGTGTGTGAGAGGAGAGTACTGAAAAGAAGAAATAAAAGATATCTGTCTATTTGGTCAGATATTGAGAAGTGTCCTTTTGTATAGACAAACCTTACACATATTTTATAGCGTTTCTCAAATAGTAATAGTTAACTAGTTTGTGTTTTGTGTGTGATCCTCATTTAGCTTTGTTAGTAATTATCTACTGGTGTACAGGACTGTTGAATAAGCTCATGGCAGAGACCCCTGACAATGTAGCGAAGTTCTGTGTTCAGTGGGTACCAATAAGATATCCAAGTTTATTACAATCAATGCTATAGTGTTTCAATTCTACCTCCTTAAGCCGTTCGAAAAGACCAAATAATTATTCATCATAATTATCATTTTTGGAATTATAATTGCGGCACCAAGAGATATATCAATATAATCGATAATCAAAATTCGTCTCTTTATCATTTTTACTATATTTATTAAAAAACATAACTTATGATTAACACTTTTAAAATGTAATAAAGGTTTTGCAAATTAAACCTAATTGATACACGCATTTTCTTTACTCTCAACCCAGATTGAAAGTTGTTGTGATTGTCTTATTATAGAATTCCGAAGATAAACGGAGAGTCTACTCAAATATCAACTAAAAATGACATTTAAAGGAATATATCTTCCTAAATATACTAAGTGTAGTTTAGCAGCAATTTTTAATTTATACATGTTTGGTTAATGGATATTCTTTCTTAAGGATTAAAAACTTTCCATGTTTTGTATCTTTTTCTTGGTTCCGGTACATATTTGTTTTTAATCACCCAAATTAATTCACAATTATTTTTTTTAATTCACCCGAAGCAAGGCAATAGAGCCAATAGCACGCAGAAGGGGTTACTGAGTGTGAAAGAATATTTAAATATAAATTGTCCAATATCTAATGAATAGATCTTCCTATGTTAGGCATTATTGAAGGCCTATTGTTTTTTTATACCATGTTGGTAAAATATCAAATTTAGGAACAAACATAGTAAATATATTTCATTAAAGAAACAACTAAAACAAAAATGACGATAGCGATAGTAACGTGAACACGCCAAAAAGCAATATTTGAGATTGAAGACATCGCACAAATAAAGAAAACGCTACTGATAACGGTTAAAAATGGCCGAAAGTACTTAGACATTGTACAATTTATATCTGTCTATAATTCTGAAATGAGGTATTCTAATTATTTACACTATTTATATTGTTCGGACTGTTGTTCTCATTTTTGTTGTCATATTCACGAAATATTCGAAAAATATAAAAATAAATAAATAAGATCCATCTCATATATATATATATATATATATATATATATATATATATATATATATATATATATATATATATATATATATATATATATACACACAATACACATACTCATCATAGGCCCATACAAACGTTCAAATACACATGGATACGAATATGCGCTCTCTCTCTCTCTCTCTCTCTCTCTCTCTCTCTCTCAAACATATATATATTAAAAAAGAGAGAAACCTCAAAAGTTTTTTGTTATAATGTGGATTTATTTTAGTATATATATATATATTAAATTTTACTCTTCATATTTCTGCTACACGGGTTTCTGGTCTTCGTGACCTTCTTCAAGAAAATAAAAGGAATACATTTTTAAAGGGAATAAAGTTTCCTTATCTTCTTTTAATGTCTCATTTTTCGTTTTATGTATTTGTTAATGAGTCTTGGGCTACTTTCTGGACTGTTGACAAAAGTTAATTTCTGCCTAATAGTGTTAATAAAAACATTTGATTGGTTTGAGAGGTGGTGTTGATAGATGTATTGTGCGTGTGTGTTCCTGTTAGCCTGCATATGTGTATTCTATCTATCTATCTATCTATCTATATATATATGTACTGTCTTATAATAAGGAATCAGTATACACATATGTATATACACATACATATATACATACATATCATCCCCACACACAAATACACACTCTTCCTGTGTCCGTGTGTGTGCCCCTGAGTAGTCTATCTGTTTTTGCCAGTGTATATATATATATATTTTTTATATATTTTTGTTCTCCATGGATTCCTGTTTGCGCGTGCGTACGTGTACGCATATATGCGGTCCGACCAGTGTATCTGGCCATCATGTATGCATGCTGTGTGTCCATGTGTGTGGGGTTATGTTCTGTTCAGTGCCTGGTTTAAATTTGTCCATGAAGTTTTTTGCCTGAATTTGTAGGAAAGAGTAGTTGTCTGTTTGGTATATTGGCATAATTTTAAGTTTCCCTTGATTGCATTTGTAGATGTGTTGCGATACAAAGAGTTGTTACAAATAGGCCACACTACAACATGTTTGACACGAAGACTTATAAGTTACACCTTTCTGACTATAGCTCATGGAGACCTACTGGACTCTATTTGTAACATACTTGTTGATAACACAAATGTAAAAGCATCGTCTACATGCGAAAAAAGGCTAAAAATAATGGAAGCCTTATTAATAAAAACAAAAACAAACAACACTCAATAATATCAACTATGAACATGGACCCTATCTTGAAAATGAAAATATATATGTGTGTGTGTGTATGAGTGTGCGTGTGTGTATGTGTGTGTGTGTGTGTTAAAATGATCGACAGGGTACTTCTGTTAAGTTTCGTTAATGTATTTATCTCGCA